AACTCCCTGTCTCAAAACACATATGATTTATTTATAGAAAACTTTCGTGTCATTTGCTCAAGCGGATACTTTCGCTCAAGCGAGTATTAATGATTTTCGCTCAAGCGAGAATTTGCTCGCTTGAGCGACTGACTTCCAAAGAGGTTTAACGTATTTTCGCTCAAGCGAGCGTCTACCTCGCTCGAGCGACTAACTTCCAGAGAGGTTTAACGTATTATCGCTCAAGCGAGTGTCTATCCCGCTCGAGCGAATCTTAGTCTGCAAATCTTCTTCCTTTTTTCTAATTTTTCTTCAATTAACTTGAGAATTGTGATCCTTGCTCTTATACCCAGGTACTCTATAAATTCATCCTACATTGGGAGAAAAATATACTAGAATCAACATAATTTAAGTGGTTAAATAACAATTCAAAGAATAATTCCATCAACTTTTGCCCCTTAACAACGACTCACCTTTTTTTTTGCCTCAGCCTTTTGCAGGGTTAAAGAAGTCAGTCTGTGTGGTCTTGCAACAACAAAACTAGCTCAAAAATTCTGGGTTAATGCTTCAACTAATTTTATTCACCCGGTTGGAAGATCATAAAATCACCTGAGTGTTGGTCCTTTCAAAGTTATAGGAAAAAATTTGCAAAGAAAAACATCGGCAAATAAAAATGGATGTGTTCATTTGGATATTCTCCTCCTCCAAATTTTTCCATGCCCAACTTTCCATACAATTGGAAGGGCCTTCGTTTGTATCTCTAGGAAAAATGGACTCCTTAGCTTCAATTTTGATTGTCCTGGAATGTGTGCTTCCATTTTCTTTGGATCTGGTTCACCTTCAACTTTGCTTAGTTCTCCATTTGACTTTAGAATAACTTCTTTTCTAATATCTCGACGACTTGATTCACTTTTAGTATGTGCTTCTCCTTCAGGTGGGGGTGACTAATACAATGAGTGTGATTAGTATTGAAAAGAGTGATGTCTTCGAGTAGATCAAGCTAGAAGGCAAATTTTCCTTTCTATTTCTACATTTTACTTTCGAAAAAATTACTTTTCTTCCTTATGTCTTTGTCCATCATATTAAAATTTTATCATTTTTCCTCCACATCTCCTCTATATGAGTTTTTAGACTATTGATAATATCTTCAACATTCATGATGATATCTTTTGTACTCTTATCTAGTTGTAACCAGGTATATATTTCACTGAACCCAACATTGAACGTTAAATAATTTTCCCAAAAAAATAAATACAAATAGACTGAAAGAAAAAAAAGGTTGAACAACTCAAACATGTTGACTTGATCACAAACAAATATTTACTGGACAAACTTTGACTTCTGTTGAAAAGAGTGAGAGGTCCATCTGCAAAGACACTCTTATGTTTAAATCAGTAATAAGAATATGTATATGATATAATTTATAAACTCCTCATGAGAGATCTCTATTCAATGCTAATAATTTATCTTTATTGTACTGTCAAAGATTGCTTTAAGAATTATTATAATATTAATACCTATTTCAGAAAATATTCCTATTATATATATATATATATATATATATATATATATATATATATAAAAGAGAAAGGGTTGAGAATGATTAATTAGAAGAGATTCTAGTATAGGCACACATGAACAAGATTTTTTTTTGTGTGTGTAAAAATAGGATCATCAACTTGAAGGCACCAAATGAACGTTGGTTAGAAAGTAAAAGTGGTGAGACAATTAGAGGTGAATGAGTAAAAAAATACTAAAATATTATTTGAATATAAGAGAGAGTGATAGTGGATGTTATTTTAAAATATATTTTTGCAACCCTCCTTAATAATTATTGGAGAAGGAGTAGGAAACGTAAAATTCAAGTTGTCACAAGGTTTTTCAAAGTTAATTCAAGACTCGAAATGAAATATTAGATGATTTATAATTTAAAGTATCTACTATCTCTTCTAGGAGAAATTATGATGACGAAGATGATGACAACTGAAATGATAGATATAGTGAAAGCAAAAGAAAAGATAGTTGTTATGAGAAAGAGATTTGTACTAAGTCACTAACCTATAAAGTTACACACAAAAATTTCAAAATTTAACTCAAGGTTACGAGTGTGAAAGATTATTACAAGAAAATGTAGAGAGAGAGCTAATATTGAGAAAGAATGAGATTTGATTATGACAATGTTTATTAAATGTTCAACATTATGTCCAGAGGATTTGTTTCACAAATTAATTATGGTTAAGACCATTTAAGTCAAAAAGTCATTCTAAATATAATTTACCTTCTACCTCTTTATGGAGACTTAATTGGAAGGATAATAAAATTGATATAAATCTTAAAAAAGATGCAATGATCTAGTATTCAATGGTTGGTAATAAAGATAAAAATGAAACTTATAGATGTTCCACTACAAGAATTTTACATATTAGCTATGACACATTCTGTAGCTATTTTATAGCTAATCTCTCGCTGATACGTTTTGCTACAAATTAACTACGAAATAGTTATGGAATAGTCTGTCACCAAATCCAAGTAGCTAATTAGATAGAGATATATTCTCTCTCAAATTTGTAGCAAATTTAGTCATCAATCTGTCGCTAAGTTCCTCGCTAATTTAAGTGATGAAATTTTGTCTTTCCCTAGCTAATTGATCTCCCAAATTTCTAGCTAACTTGTAGCTAATCCTTCTCAGTTGTTTTGTCGCTAATCCGTAGCTAATCCTTTACAATTTTGCTCTCGCTAATTCGTGGCTAATCCCTCACAATTTTTCTATCGCTAATCTGTAGTTAATCCCTGACAATTTATCTCTAACTGATCTATAGTTAATTCCTTGCAATAATTCCCTCTAGCTTATCCATGGTTAATTCCTTGCAATATTTCCCTTGCTAAACCATAGCTAATCCTTCGCAATATTTCTCTTATTAATCCGTAGCTAATCCTTCTCAATTATCTATCGTTCATATATATCAAAATTCATCTCTCACTGATTTATAGTTCATCACACATAAGTTTTTCTCTCACCAATCTCTCGAAATTTTATGTGCAAGTAATTTGCTAATTATTATTATTGACGTAGTAAGTATTCCTGCTAAAGTATCATTATAATATTATAATATCAAATATTTAACATTTAAATTATTACTCATATTCTTAAAAAAAGACAAATTTATCAATTTTCAATATAAAAATATTGTTTAAACATAGTAAAAAATAATGTTTCAAACAATCAAAACATAACAAAAATAATATTTTAACTAAAAAGTTTCAGTATCAACTAAAAAGTTTTATCATCAACACAATTAAAAATAGAAACAAAGTTTTGATTATTTAAAGTATATTTTCATCCTTTTTTTATTAAGATAGATAATAAATCTTTCTTAAAAGACTGCATTTCTTCTTGCATTTGGGTCCTCTTGCACCTCTTCTACTTTTGGATTTAATCTAACATAAGCAACATCCATAACCATATTAACATATTGACTTTTATTATCCTCATTATGTTTTTGAAAGACAGAAGTTGATATATCATCGCTCCATTTTTCTCACCATGAAGGATCCAATTTGTCATCTCGTCTTGGCATTTATTTAAAGGCTGACCCAAATGACAAGATCCAAATGTTATTGGATATCTTCTTCACATTCACACAGTATTGATGAGATGGAAGAATAGTTTTGGACTCAGACCTACTGAATACTTGTCATCAAGATCCAGCTCCAACTCTTGTTCCATTGATCCAAAGACTTGCAAAATACCATTGAGAAAAAAAAACATATATTAGTTTGTAGAAATGCAACACACTCAAATAGAACCAATTTGAATTTAAAGGGGCAAGTCCTGAGCCATTGTGTTGTCTTGTGACTATGAATTGGTTTGGTATCCACAAAAGGCACAAGTGGGTCATAGAAAGAAAAGGCAAGTCAGTTCAATCACCACAAAATAGCACACAACGCATTAGAAGGAGCAGCAAGCATGGAAAATGGTACCAAAAACTTAGTTAGAAACAGTAACAAAAGCTACTCCTTGCAAGAGAGAGAAGCATTAAACTCTCTCTCTCTCTCTCTGTCTCTCACATACAAGATAAATAAGTAACAAGAGAGAGAAATCACACCAAGCTACTACATACTAGTTACTACTACAACGTTAATGCACATGATACCTTACTAAACCAAAGTTATGCTCTTCAAGCACCATTATAACATGCTGGATTGATTTTTTGGCATTTACTTTATTATTTATAATTATTTATGTCCCAATAGACAAGTGATCTAAGTAAAGCACGCAAGCAAGCCGAGAAAGAATCGAGAGTGCCCTCGTGAGATGACAAATGACACCATTGAGGTATCAACTTCTATAACCTACATTCCCCTTATTTAAAGGATGACCCAAATGAAAGATCCATTACAACTCATCTCAATCTACTTTTACTTTTGCATATACAAGTACACACCTCACACACACTCATAATACTAATCTATGTGGAGAAAAGAAAATAACCGACAACATTAATCGAATAATATCATTATATTTTTCTTCCACCATAAATCTCTCTCATTCTCCTTCATCCATTTAATAATCCTCTCTCACCCAAAAACATGCCTTGTTATGTTTCTGTTAATGCAATTAACAGAAAAGTTTGCAATGAAAATGGTGTAACAGTTCCAGGACTAGTTACATTAATGCTTGTAATTAATTAACAACTACTTTGTGTTTCTATTAGTTTTTAGAAAAATAAAAGAGAAAAGATAAGAGAGTAAAGGGTGTCGATATTTTTACAACCGCATACATACATCCGAACGACAATTACGTATAAAATAATATTAAATTTATAATTGCGTATAAAATAATATTAAATTTTGATTTCTTCTTTCCCGTCTTTCATTTCTCTTCTCTCCCTTCGCGCTCTCCACTCTGTATTTCACTTTCCTCTCTCCTGGTGCTCACAGTCTCGGAAGTTCTCGGCGCATCAGCTCCCACACGATCGTTGTCCTTAAAGAATTAGTCGTCGAGCAACAACATTAGTTCGATGTTGGAGGAAGCTCTGAAGAAGTTCTCACTCTACGATGGCGTCCATGCTCACGTTGTCTTCATCGCTTGTCCTACTCTCTATCTTTATGTGAAGGTAAGTTCCTATTTTCTATGATTTGAGTTGATTTGGGATAACTGTTCATGATTTTGTTTAGACCAACTGATGGTGGTTGGGATTACAAGCAATCCTTTAAGTAGTATCGAACTGTTTCCTTGCCATATGTTGAACTATTCCCCCTCAGATATTTTGATATAATTTTTTTTGCTTTAAGAAATTGTGATATGTTTGTTGTCTGTCCTTTGGCTATTGTAATTTAATTTATTTATCCCCATGTCTGATTACTTGTGTTGGATTTATATGATTCTGATACGAAGTTTTCAGATTTAATGGTAGTTTTGGGTTTCCTATTGTTTATTGTGTTTCTAGATTGTGCTCATGTTGGTAGTAGTTGTTGTTGTGGTTTGAGTATTGGTGTTTTCTGTTGTAGAAACACTTTTTGGTGAGGAAGGATAAGAAGTCATAGGGTGATAGCTAGTTGGTCCCCTGGACTGGCTTGTGTTGTAAGGGCTGAAGGAGCTGGCGTGGTAGAATGAACTATCACAGGCTTTGAGTGGAAGGAGTCGTGATGATGGTTCGTGTGTCATGAGGTTTGATGGCTAGTGTAGGTGGGGTTGAATTTGTGGGAAAACTGTGATCCGTTGGTTGTTTGTGCCTTGTAGAGTTTTTCTAATGTGGACTTCGTTTAAAGAATTTCTAAATTTCAATAAGGCTTTCATTTAAGAAGAAATCAACTGACTGGTTGGTTTTGGTGAGAATGCTAAAAAATGTTGTAATCTATTTGGGAGATGTTGACTTTGTAGAGGAATGAAACACCAACAAATTTCTATAATATCAAGCAATATTATGGACATTTTTGTGTTTGGTAGAGACCCCAGACACACGGGTTATGAAAACAGATTCTATTCCCTTGTCTTTGAACTTAATTTGACAATACTCTATGACATTGTTTTTAAAAGTGTACACTCAAACAAAAGATGAGTGAATAGTATATGCATTGACAATGTAAATTATTTTTATTCTGTCATCCAATAAGAAATTGTATGATAAGTTTGTTGACATTTATAGTAATTTGTTGTAAAATTTATACCTAACCTGATTTCTGACTGGTTGACAGTATTAAAAAAATTGACAGAGGATGTAACAAATAAAATAGACAATGTTTCATGTAAGTTCCAATTTTATTTACCCAGTACATGTATTTGTAGTTTGAAATGGAAAGACATGGAAGCATAGATGATGGATGTTCAAATGTTAAGAAGGTGAATATTGTATCTATTTGTATAATATTGGATATTCTTTATGATAATTATAATTATTTATTTTGATTTTTAGGTGTATTTGCGACATGTTTGTTGGACAAATTATTTAGGTGAACTAAATAACATTCTTACAAAAGAGCAAAGAGGTCGTATTGAGTCAACACCATTTAAATGGTTGATGTCATTGGATAGAAAGGTTAAAATTAGTAGAACATTGCTTAGTGAATTAATAAGTAGATGGGTTGAAAAGAGAGGTGGGTTTAATATAAGGTCTGAGATAGTATGCTTTACACTATTAGATGTGTGTTTAGGTTTAGGACTTCATGTAGTAGGCGAAAATGTCAAAATTGTAGAAGCAAACATTGATTGTCATAATAGGAGACTATTTACTGGGAAACATGTTACTGTGGAAATGATTTTTAATGAACTTGTAAAACGTAAAAATGATAAGCATGTCGATGACTTTTGTAGGTTGTACATACTTTTAGGTTTGTCAGAGTTTTTATTCCCTAATAAACTAGGTATCGCACATTGTGGGTTTTTTAAGTTAATAGATAATATATCTTGTCTTGGAAAGTATAATTGGGGAAAAACAGTGTATGAATATCTGGTTGGAAGTTTATGTGAAACATCAATTTATTTGAAGAAACGAAGAAATTGTTCACACTTGCATGTACTAGGATGTGTGTTTTTGTTACAGGTAAATCCTAAATTATGATATATGTTTTGTTAGAACACATTCAATATGGTCATCTGATTTGATATTGTGCATTTTGTTTATATGAATTCAGATATGGGCTATGGAGCATCTACTTTATAATACCAAATCATGTAATGAGATAAGTCGATTTCTAAGATTTTTACAACGAACCTCTATTGTAATTGGGGAAAGTAAGATTGTAGTTGCGTTTAAACATAATAGGGTTAGTTAATTAAAAATGTAGTAGAAATTGTTTACAATATTACTTTACCATATGTGAAAATTTGATTTCAATTTGATATTGTTTGTTATTCATAGGTTATTCATGACTTGTGCATCAGAAATGAAGAGCTTACTCATGATATAGTGAAAGAAGCGTTAGGACATATCACTCATGCATCTGAAGAATTGAAAAATTGTACTAATATGTTGTGTGGAATTATTGTTGAGAATCAATTGTTGATTGGCCTTACCAAACAACAAGAATCAATAATTGAAAAACTAGAGGAGGATGTAATACAATTACAAGAATTTTTAGATGAAGCAAAACTATCAACAGAAGAGGTAAATCCTCCATCATGTGGGATGTACTTTTCTCCTGTATTTGAAGGTAGTAGTATTAAGGAGATGAAATATCATACTGAAGTAATAGAAGAATCAAAGTTCCATTATGAATTGTCAAATATGTACACTCGACTTAAAGCTCATCCAAGAATAAGGTATAAATGTTTTATGGTCAAAACACTATGGACGACTAATTCAAGGAAAAGAAAAAAGGCGACATAAGTGTTGTGTAGATGAATTATTTTGTTAGGTTTTCTTGTAATTGTAATTTATATTTGATGCAGACCTTTATCATGTAATTTTTGTGGCCTGTGATAGTGTTATATTGTACATTACTCTTTATCTCATAATGATAGCATTGTATCTTCGTTCGATGTGTTGTTCGACTGATCATGTATGCTTATGTGGATTTAATGATATATAGTAAAGTAGTTAAGCATATGTCATTTATAGTTAAGCATATAATGTGGGCTATATAAACTTGTTAAAACATACAAGGACATGAATGTTGAAGTTACATGGACATGAAGCTTGTTGATTTTGATGATGATTCAAGAACAATGGACTCAGAGAGTTGAAGACTTGTATTCTTGTGTAATAACTCTGTTTTGATGATTTTGAGTATGTAATATTAGAGTCTAAGATAGCCAGCACATAGTCTACTCTTTAGAAGCTTCAAAAACTCATTTTTATAAAAAAAACACTGGTTTAATCGATTAAAAGGCCAAATAATCGATTATTACATAGAGAAAAACCATTTTCTGTATCAGCTCTCTGTAATAATCGATTAACACTCCTGTTAATCGATTAACAGGGCAATTAATCGATTAAAACAGTGTGGTATGGGTTCCTGTTGATTTTGGCTCTGTAATAATCGATTAACACTTGAGATAATCGATTATTTCAGTCAGATTTGCATTTTGAACTTCAAATTAAACCTATTTTCGAAAACCCTAATCACAATACACCAAGTTTTGAAAATCCCCAATTCCCAAACCCTAATTCATCTACTTAAGGTTCTCTAAGGCTCTCAGAAAATGAACAACTTTTTTCAAACAAAAGTTGAGAGTTGTGATTGCCAGAGAACTGTTTGTTGGAGGAAAAAGGGGCTTTTGGAACCTAGTGTGGGCTAGAAGCGATAAGAATCACTAAGTGGAGTTCTTAGTGGATTGTGTGTTGTGTCGTCTCTAGGGAAAGTTGTTCTTCATTGTAGACCCCTAATTTTGCCCGGCCTCTCAATAAAGATCAGAAGATTTCCTCTCTGAAGGCGGGTAAAGCTTCGGTGAACATCCATCGGCATCAACGTGCTTCCATCTGAAGAAAGGAAAGCTTCCCTGAAGTCCCAGAACACAAAATTTGGCCAGAACGCTCGAGACAGTCGTCCCAGAAAGCAGGACAGTCGTCCAGACAGGCCAGACGCGCGTCCCAGATGTGAGACGCGTGTCTCACTCAAAATCACCACTTGGGACGGCCGTCCCAAACTCCAGACGGTCGTCCCAACCTCTGCAGACCGTGGTCCCTGTTTTCTGCACCCCATATGGTCGTCCCGAGCTGCCAGGCTGAAAAAACTATAAATAGGGGCCTCATTTACGTTTTTTAGACACACCTCACTCCTCTCTTCTTTCCCTCTTTCGAATGATCTTTCCGATTGCCTATAAGGTAACAATCGGTTAAGGATGTTTCTTCTGGCATTCGATTCTTCTGAGAATTTTTGTAGTGTCGGTCCTGTATTCGGGGAGGAGAGTCTTTGTAGTGCGGGGGATTGTTAAAACACATCCTCACAGTTGAAGAGTTGTAATAAAAAGCTTGCTACGGAGGTTCTATTCACTTCTTTTATCTTTTATTGCTTTATTTACTGATTTTTGTATGCAATAGAAAATAGAATCATGTAGATAGCCATTTTTTATTATTTTATAATAAAATAGGGTAATAGCGTAATTTATCTTAATCTTTACTTTATGAATTAATCTGTCATAGGGAACCCGGAAGGGGCGTCGTGGGGGTGCTAACACCTTCCCCATGCGTAACTAACTCCCTTACCTAACTCCCTTACCTAACTCTGGTTATAATGACCAAGTTGGTTTTTCTTAAAATCAACGCCTTTTTATCATTTTCCAATGTTTATGGTCAAAACATTGGTGGCGACTCCATAAGAACCCTTTTACGAAAATCTTGCTTTTATTAGAGGATAATTCAGTTGTTGAGTACCTCAGGAGTAATGAACACATTTTTAAATAAACGCGAGTCTAAACCATCTTTTCGCGACCGCTCGTATAAACGTTCGAGATGTCCCTAGACGTCAGAACGGACGGCGGCGACAGATGGCGACTCCGCTGGGGAAGCTAGAGAGTTGATCCCATTTAGTGACGGATAATTTCAAACTAAGTAAAGATTTGAAATTACGCCTTTACCCTCCTTTGTATGCTTTATTGTATGGCTTTAATAACAGTTGTATGATTATTTTCTGCAAATTGTCTAAAATATAAATTGTACACAAAAACCTTTGCACACTACAGTCCCTTTATACCCGGGGGCAAAAGTGAATACCTATAGGGAGTGGGTGGCAGATACGACCGACTTGTTGGCACACGGGGCTTCAACCGTTGTCAGAAAACCACCAACTCAAGGTGATAACTCTCTTCTTTTGGTCCAAGGATGTTGACACGGAGTTCCGTGCATGATCCGAAAGACTGAGAGATTGAGAGGTCCCTATAATGGGGGCACCTTGGGGACCTTTGGACTTGGTAAGAACAGTTTAGAACCACCTTAACCAAGCACGTTTCTACAGGAAAACCCTACCTCGTAATCAAATTAGCGTGGCTCTGCTCGTGGATGAGTGAATTGTGTGTGCATTCGTTTGCTGCATTTGTATTGATGCATTGACATAGGGTAATCATACAACAGACAAAAAATAGTAAAAATTCTAAAAAATCATAAAAATGATAAGAATAAACCAACTTTATCTCGGACAGTCTTCATTTAAGTTATCCTGGTTTCAGGTTCTTTGTAAGCTAAGTAGCCACGTTGACCAACAAAAGAGATAAAGGGTTATAGAAAATATAAAAACAATTTAAAGCCATAAAAAATACCTCTTACAATAAAAAGATTCTTGACAAAGTCTTATTATTCATACAACATCTGTTCATAAAAATAATAAGAGGAGAAAATAGGATTCTCTTCATCAAAACTCATGAATATCCATATAGATAGTTTCCTATTCAAGAAAGAAAAAACCAAGCACTATCATGTATCATACTAAGAATAAAACATGATAATACTTAGAAA